GGTATTTAAAAAAAAGACCGTTGGGCTGATGATTGAAGTCAAAAATGTCATAAACTTGTGGCTAGAGAGATGAAATTTGCAAAAATTGCTAGAAACATCCAGACAATTTAGGACAAACGACATGCGATAAATAGGAACAGTCTTGGTGGTCCCGTTGACGAAACAATGAATTTACTTCATAAATCTCAATTCAGGCCTGCCCACCGCCCAATTAAAAATGATCTTCGAGCGACCACCCTGCCAGCATCCGAGACATTTGCTTACCAGAAGTGATTATTTCTTTCTCTCTCTCTCTTATTCGATCTCACTTCAGACATTTGCTTATATGTGCAAAGAAGTTGAATACACTAGACAAGAATGATAGAATATGACTGATATAAATGACGTTGGGATATCATTGGAATGATGATGATGATAAGAAGAATGAGAAAAAATTTTGCAAGTTTTAACGCATTAAACACGATCTGATATATAAAAATTAGATACAGAATAAATTTAAAATAAAATGTCGGGGTATTAGAGATAATTAATAGCTTAATTTCCACCTTTCAGGAAGCCATTATTTTCAAGGCCTCCAACGATGAGAATTCGCACGCGCATTCGTGAATCCCAAGAGTTCCCATATCGGGTGGCCTAAAAATCCGATCCCTAATGTCATTCCATCAGCTTCCAGCTGAATAAAATTAACAGAAAAAAATAATGGCTAAAAAAAATTAATTAATTATAAAATTAAAAAACTATAAAATAAAATTTGAGTTTTATATTGCGATATACATTCTTTCTATGCTATTATAAATGTGTAGATGTGTTCGTGCGTGACCAAGCTATGTGTCAAGAATTAATAGATTCGTTAGTTCTAAAGTCGATGACAGGACTAATGAATGTGTCAGGGAAAAAAGGTCAAATTGTCACATGTTTCAAAATGAAATAAATTTTTTCCATTTTTATTTTTGTTTTTGCAATCGAAAACAAAATTTTTTTCCCAGCATTTTATATGTATAGCTTTTTTTATGCAACAACATTCCATTAAAATACAAAAATTTTCACTTTTTTTTAAAACAACAAATTTTTCTGCAATAATTAGAAATAATTTAAAAACAATTCAACTGAAAAGAAGTTCAAGTGAATAATAGTTGATAATAAAGATAAAAAATAATGATTTACCAGTCAGTTGATTAATAAATAAATAAAAATTCATATGGATATTTATGATTGAATGTGATGACATAATTAAGCCTGATTGATAGAATGATCTCATGAATGGATGATCTTAAAAAATATTTAATCAAGTTTAAACATATAGAATTAAACTGCATTGTAATATCAAATAATTTTAATCTACATATTTTATCAAAGTATACATCTACTGATTATACTTTGAAGCTATAAAATAAAATCTATTTTTTTTTTCTAACACAATCACTATAATACTACAACCATATTTTCATTTAAGCTTAACTCGATGTATTGGCTGATAGAGAGCCAACATAATATAACTAAATGAATTCATGTATTAATAATAAAGAAGATATAATAATAACTCGCGTGAGTTGTCGATCATTTAGTAAGATGTCATCATACTTTGCTTGGCCACGCGTTACACATAATACAATAATATTAGCTACTAGCTGATGCAGATATCAGTTGAATACTTGAGTTAATAATATACAAGTAAACAGAGTTGAGTAAGAAATCTTTATGCAGATTATGTCGCTTTGGAATTAAAGGATTTGAAATAATATTGAAAATAATACTGAATTAATGTATATGTATATTATACCAACTACATTGACTACAGCAATAAAAAAATAAACCCTCATCAATGTATTCTGTAAGCACATTAGACTCACTCGCGTGTCAAAGTCCAATTATACATATAAACCCGCAACAAGGCAGTTACAGCCCCGGGGGGCTGACATCTCCCTAACATATAGCAAACCCTCGCTCTTTACTTTCTTTTCTGCTTCAACCATTGACAACATTCGAGGCCAATTTTTACCGTAGAAAATAAATTACTCTTGTAGGATTATTAGCAGTTGTTGGATTATTTATTTAGAAATAACAAAAAATCACCAACGAATTTTTTTCAATGTCCTTAACTTCTTTGTTTCATGGACAATCACATTATTCATGTTAATTGTTTTACATTCATTCAGTTAGTTTATCGTCATATTATTTATTTTAAAGCTTTGTCTCTTTTCTAAGAGTAAAAAACACTATAACTCATGGTGAATTAATGATAGTGAATATTTAATGAAAGTGTAGATAAAAGTTACGTTAACTTATTCGACTGTAAAATTATCATCTAGAGAGTATAATCTCGACAGTCATTGGCCTTGCCATATAAGTGATTGGTTATTTTACAGTCATTGACTCACATTGCTATGAGCTAAAGAGAAGATTACAATTATTTCTGTCATTAAAGATAATAGCTGTTACTGTGTTATTGCTGTTATTGACATTTTGTTTTCCATGGGTATAATGATAGAAGTTATTACCAGAGGAGAAAAAGTCATTATCATTGTTTTAAAGCAATAACTACTGAATCAATTATATTACATTAAGTAATGGTTATTTATTTATTTACTTTGCAACTATAAAAATCAAATGAAAATGATTAAAAGTATAAACGTTTATATATCGTGACATACTTTCATGATTATTTTTTTAATCCTAATTTTTACTTTTCATTATGGGGTTTATCTTAATGTACACTTCACTTAAAGATAAATTTTATGATAAATTAATGTATAAAAAAATTTTGCACGAATTACAGACATTTGTACTTTTACTCACTACATTCAAAGAAATAAGAGAGAGAAAATTAGCGAGTGAGCACCACTTATTCGGCCACACAAATACTCGGCGCGGTGGCTCCAATTAAGCAGACAACATTAATTTCAACCACCCGGACTGATTCAATGGTTAAACTGTTTACCACACACAGAATTGAGCTACTAAGTCTAAGAAATAGAATCTTAACTTGTATCTAGGACTGCAGTATACAATTTACTTCATTTTATTATTATTATTTTTCTCGACTGATGATCAGGAATGAATCAGGAGAATATTTTATGGATAATTGACGTAGATTAATTCATTTCACAGCATCACAGGATATATTTTAATGATCAAATTATTTTAATCACAGCAAAGTTATTTTAATTATTGCTGTAAATTGATATTAATGTTGACACATGTATTGAAAAATTATTATAGCAATATTTTTCTGCAAACAAACTTTAAATAAGATTTTCAAGAAAAATATTGAAAAATTTATAATAATTTCTTGAATTAAATAATTATTGAATAAATAAGTAAGTCAAATATATTTTTAATCATCATATTTTATCATTAAACTCAAATCAAACTTCTTGTTTATAGAATAACTTCTCTTTTGAAGTTGTTTACATTATTTTAATATATTTGTTATAAAAAATATTCATCAGTTTTTTTTTTTTTTTTATATTATCATGAAGTAAATTAACACAGATAAAGCTTAATGTAACGATACATACACATAGAAGCTTATATTACCAAAGATAAATTTTATTCTGAGTCTGTGTAGAAGATAACGGTAACTGAAGTTGAAGTTTTGTGAACTCGTGAATGTAAATCTCAATTCTCACACGTGGTCCATCAGAACGGAAGGAACGAGTGTTTATTGACGTAAACTGAGTGAAATAAAAATACAGCACGAGTGGTTGTAGATGTTGGACAAGTATCTATATATAAGAGAAATAAACTTCCTGATGTCAAAAGTGCATAAAGCAGTTAAAGAGTGCAGCCAAAGAGTTTGAGTAATCGATAGAGTTGCAGAAAAAAAACGAGTCAGGAGGTCAATCGTAGGTCAGGCTAATGAACCAGCCGGGCGTCATTCGACCGTGCGAATCATTTTGATAGTTCATTTTTTTCCTCTCATTCCTTTTAGACCGGTGATTAGCTAGACGCCAAGCTTCGAACGGGGAATTCAATTTATACTTTTATGAGTTGTTTCTACGCCCCTAATAGGCTCATAAAGGCGGCTAAGATACAACTGACTTTAACGACGAATTCAGTAAAATTATAATAATAATCATAATAAAATTGGGATAAGTAAATAAATCTGGAAAGTTGAGGATCATAATCTTTACATCGTATACATCAAAATTAATGGTGAAATGCTTTAACAAGCAAGGAATTTAATTTGTGTTAATAAAAATTAATATTTTTTATACTTGCTAATATTTCTGTAAAAATAAGTCAATTTAAAATACATCAAATCATAATAAATAATATTATGTAAAAAAATATTGCATATTGAAAAAAGATAATTTGATGAATTTTAAAAATATTATGATGAAAAACTTAATCATCAAAAATGCCTTGAAAATTATTAATCATTTTCTTCATATTTCAACTTGAAAGAGTTGTCTTCTTTCTTGAATTTCCACTTTGTTGTCACTACAAAATATTTTTTCCCATGTGATTGAAAAATAAAATTATGAATGAAACCTGCAAGTCAACATATCATTATTATACAAAATAATCAAGAAAAATTGAAAGATATATTATTTACATCCATTTTGAATGTGTCCAAATGAATGTACCTAAAGACTTAAAATTTGAGTGATAATAAATTTCATTGACATTTATTAATTGCTGGTGAAAGTCAAACTATTCATAGATATATCAGGTGGTGACGTAACCACATCCTCAATCATGTTTGGTTGTTCGTGTCACATGATCTCTCAACTAATATTCATCCATGAATATTAGCCCCTTAATATTACCTTCAAGTTTTTTCCTTCTACATGAAATAATAACTTAATTGGTTTCATCAGTATTATTATTAACCAATAAATTAATGGATTTCAATTGAATGTTTTATCTAACACTTAATAATTTTATATATATATACATAACTACACTTTTTTAAATGTAAAATGAACCGCGAGATATTTATTAATAATATTAAAAGGTATGATTTTTAATAGCTGTATATTTTTTTTTGTTCTCAGGACGAAGTAAGTAGCTACTTCCTCACACGTCTGATGGGCTGATCTTATACGGACTGATGAGTCGACTCTACTGAACGTGAGCCTTTTCGAAACGAAAAACATTTATGCATCAGTTTCTTACCTTTTTTTTTAACAAAAAGAAACTAAGTATTAGTATTAACATCCCACAATGATTGAAAAGAGTAAAAAAAATACTTGTAAAATATGAGGATATTATTTTGAGTATATTTCGAGAATTCGAAAAAATGGCTAGATTTTTGAAAGAACTTGAGTTTTAATTACTATCTCTTCTACTCAGTTAATTGCTTTAAACTTTATTTTATATTTAAAAAGAATTCTAAATTTTTTTATATTTGATTCATTTGAATGTTTAAATAATTGAAGCTATAACTATTATTCAGTGACAATAATTTCAACCATAGAGCGTAAAACATAAATATAACTAGTTAATCATTATCCGAAGTTCAAAGGAAAAAATTCAGTTTTATTAAATAAATAAAGCAGTAGCATAGTAGTTATAAAAGCCCATAATTTAATCGATCGATAAATCATTCGGTTGCTAAGAAGTAGGTAATACAGTTAAAAAAAATTTTAAAAATAAATTTTTGAATTAAATTCATTCAATTTGGTTAATATTCTTTTCTAAATAATCATTTTTTTAATAAGAATTTTCTGATAATTTATTAAATGTTTTCTTACGTGTTAGAATTTTAAATGAAAAAGTTTGTTTACAATGGAAAAAATGATTTAGCAGTATTATCTAGCATCATATAGTTCATAGTAACGTGTAGTTTAACTAAGTCATGATGAAATTAGTGGTTCCAGTGAATACTTCGAGCTTTGGTATGCAAGATACGTCAGTTGTACAGCGTAGCAGTAGGCAAACGTCTTGACGTTATTGGTTTTAAGTCACCCTCGTTTACTTCTCAGTGCAAAGTGAGAAAGGGCGCAATACTTTGCTCAAGTAATTAGACTGTCGTTCGTTATGCCTTGAGTCATTTGCTGACACTTAGTAATACATGCTCATGAATGTATATATAAAGCAAAAAGGAGAAAATAGATGGTAGAAAATTAGTATAAATATACATATAGACAGCAAAGCTTTTCATTTTCGTCTCAGTCTTATATTGATTTGACCTTACGAATAGTCTGAAGAAATGAAGAAGTGTCAAGCGGTCATTAATCATTGCTATACTTTGCCATACTTATAAGTAGGTATTGCATGTTTATGCCCACGATCTGTCAAGCCACTTTATGCTTACAACATTCATTTTAATGTACAACACATACGTGTGTATGTACCTAATAAATTAATCGTATAGAAGTGACATACTCGCAACTACTTTTCGACACAACCTGTTGTTTATTAATTTACCATATTAATTAGCTGATTATATCCTATGCTTATGCACGTTTTCAAGTCCAAGAACACATCAGGAAAAAAGTCTACTATGATTAATAAGTTTGATATTGCGGTTTGCTCTAGAATTTCATGTTAAAAACGGTTTACTTTCGATATAAGAAATTATTCATCTTTGAATAAGGTCATTGATTTTTTTGATTATTTTCTTTCAAAGTCAGATTATCTAGAAACACAAAAATCCTTGTCATTTTCAATTAATTGAATTTGCTAAAGATATCTTTATAACAGTGATTATTTATTATTGCGGTGAAAATAATGACAGAGTAATAATTATTAAAATGATTGACATTAGAAAACAATAGATTGCTTAGTAGACAGTAAAATAAACGCTATTAATTATAGACATGACTGAATTAAATAGAATAATAGCATGAAAAACCAACGCGATAAAATGATTGCTTATTTAATAGATCTATCTCCATCTCATGTAAACAGCGTATAGTAAATTCACGAACATTAGAAAAACCTTGTCACGCAGAGTAATAAAAGCACCGTTAACTGTTTAGCATCGAGTGATATTATTGCGGTTGATACAAATGAATTAATAAATTTTATTACTGGAAATTTAATTATGGGACAATTCGGGATGTTGAAAAAATTAAACTCGAAAAGAACACGAACATTTATGGGCATTTAATGAATGCAATGAGTTAATTTGACAATTTTACGACTCCTTTTGACACTATCCATCGTTTATTAACTCACGAAATAAATGAGCTAACGACGCGATGTTTACGTGTGTCTTCAGGTCCACGAACAAGGAGAGTAAAGAGATCGAGTGAAGGCCGGGCAACAGCAACACCTGAAGAAAAGAGACCACGGACTGCATTTAGTGGAGAACAATTGGCAAGATTGAAACGTGAATTTGCTGAAAATCGTTACCTCACTGAACGAAGACGACAACAATTATCAAAAGACTTGGGACTAAATGAAGCTCAAATAAAAATTTGGTTCCAAAATAAACGAGCGAAAATTAAGAAAGCAAGTGGACAAAAAAATCCTCTGGCGCTTCAACTTATGGCTCAGGGTCTTTACAATCACTCTACAGTGCCACTTAGTAAAGAAGAAGAAGAACAAGCAGCAGAACTCCAAGCCAAGTGACTAATTCGAAAAAGAATATCGTCGATTTATCAATCTGTACAAAGAATTTTAAAAGATACATTTTAATCTTTATAAATATTATGAATATTGCTATATTTAAATTTTACGGTAAATTTTTCGCTGTATTTATTATTGTAAAAACGACAATTCGAGTACAAGTACAATATAGAAGCGCGCTTCCTTTTCGTATTTTTATTATTAAATCACTGAAAGAAAAAATTATCTTAAAAAAAATCATCAATATTTAGATGGTTTCCATATAAAAGATGAGTTTTTGGAGTATAAAATAAATTGATTGAGGAAATAATAAATTGTTTGATTGTGAAATGGTAATAATTCTTTATTGTTATGAATGTTATTAAAAAAGTTGTTTATAATAATTAAATTCATAAATTATTTTTTCTCTCAGTGTATTTATTAAGATCAATGTTTCTGCAACAGTGCCATTTTCAAGCTTAACTCATTTATAATTTTTTTATTTTTTATTCGAATAAAATTCATAAAACTTTTTATGATAAAAAATGGATAAACAGATTATCTGATTTGTATAAAGAAATGAAGATTTTTAAATTTTATTTTCATTTATTCATCAAATGGGAAATGAACAAATCAGACAAAATTGCAATGTGCAATACAGAGATTAATGGTTAAAGTATGTTGTAAAAATTATGTAACATGAAAGAGAAGAAATATAATATGAGAAGAAAAAAATATTAAAAATGTATGTATGCATGTATGTATAATTAAAACGAAAAAAAAATTGTGAGCTGTAAATATTTAAAAATAAATCATTTTTAGTAATTAAGTGTTACCTTACAGACTGTTTGAAAAAAGTATCTTAGTAATTTATTTTCTTGTAAACTAATGTCTCATTTGTAGGTAAACGAAAGAATGTTTTTCATAGTAAATATTTAACATTGCTTTCAATTATTCATAAACAAACACTGATAGACATGTAAAAATTATTTAACAGATTATTAAAATATTCGCAATATCAATAAAACAAATTTGTTTTTTACCACACTCCTTCTTCTGTAAATCTATACTTAATTTAATTAATTTTAAAATCATCCATTTCTACTAAATTCTTCAAATTAATCATCAACTTATTCAACACAAATATTAAAGAAGCCATATTTTTCAAATTTAATAAAAATTAATTTTGCTTCTGAATTATTCAAGCGTCAAAATAATAAATCACTATCAAAAAAATGATATGTAGCTTTTATGATTAATTTGAGAAAAAAATTTTAAAAAGAGATAAATCGATAGGTGTAGTTTCACCATCAAATTCTGACTAAATGGAGTGCACATAAAATAGTTGGTAGATTGTAGATAAAAAAAAGAGTAAAAAATAGGCTAAAATAATATGATATAAAGGAGAAAGATGAGGGCGGGTTGACTTTTTATTTCACGTTGAGCGCATGCTTCTCGCATCCCCTTCGGTTGGGGGTTAAGGGCGGGCGTGAGAGATATCAATTGATTTACAGTCTAAAGGTGGCTATAGCTGATATCAAGTTGGAACCACGCCTACACTCTCTGGACCTACAGCCGTTTATAGAGTAAATTATGAGCTGAGTGAATACAGGGGCATAGTTACAACCCTTATTATTCAACCCTCACACCATTAACTTCACTATACCGTATATACCACTTTACAAACAATTCTTGCACGTTTCGATGTCATTTTCTACATCATAAAATCTCAAGTTATTTTTTAGTATATAATTTATGTCGCCATGATGTTATTTGAATTCATTCTTATCACACGAAAATCATTTGTTTAATTTTCAAGACAAAGAAAAATATCACAACCATGAATCTACAAACAAAACGCTTAACTAACTAAACCTCTCCTGAGGAGGATGCTCGTGTCACTGACAGAAACAACGCGACAGACAGAAGCGCGAGCCTGTCACACCCGCAGCGATCCTAATCTGACAAGGACATATTGGACGGTCGTAAGATAGACCATGACAATCAGCCTTTGAATTCTCCTCTCGCGATTAATTATTACTCAACGACCACCGGACATTTCCATACATTCATCCGGTCTTTCAACCCCTCAGGTCGCCTCTTAAATGTAAATCCTTGTATCAATATAAATATATGTACATATAAATAAACGCTACGTGAATTTGCGTAGGCGTATCATCAGTAATCCGAGGAATTTTTTATTTATCTAGAATCAAAAATTATTTTATACATGAGATATCATGTTCCATTATAAAAGGATACAACCTTATATTTTTTTTTTATTTGTAATAATTCCAGTTTTTTGTTTATTTCTATATTTCTGTTTTCTCATCAATGATGTAACTCCAAAAATCAAAATTATCATGACATATTCTTTCTACCCAACAACTGCGATATTTTTATTTAAAATATAGACTTTGATGTGATGTTTTAATAAATAAAAATACATATTCAGATAGTTGTTTAATTTATTCATAAGATTATCTAAAATTTTGATTAGAATATATGAGAAATATAGATAATTTAAAATATTTTATCCAAATTTTTTTATTCATCTGAAATTAGAAAATGATTTTATACACATGGTATCATGTTTCATCAAAAGAGATTAAATTCTTGGGTTATTTAGTAGATGGTGGAATTTTTTTTACTTGTAAATGATGGAAAAATATTTAATTAGCGTTCCTACAAACAGTAGCAATAACATTAGGCCAACGATGCTCGAGCAGTGAGTCAATAGATGCCGGATCTGTCAAGCTATCAGTTTAAAGAAGCTGAGGTAAACTTAAGAAAACATCTCGATGATGCCAAGGGACATTAAAATTAATGGTAGGCAGCAAACACTGACGCGTCACCTTATACCGCCATGTGTCATTTTGATAGACCAATAAATTATCACAGAAGGTCTCTTCTAACTCTCCAGAGTCTTGAAACTAGCGAGTCTTGACCTAGAGAATTTTCCCTTGGGGATCTCACGATCAGGTACCTCGACCCGAAAATAATCTCAAGTTATCGAGGATAGTCGATGAAAGTCAAAGGACAAATTCCTGTTATGAATCGAAGACTATATAAATTTTTATAAATTAACTGTTGAGTTTCTAGAACATGAAAAAACATTCTACACTACTTTCCAGAATAGTCATCAATGATTCTTAGATTAAGCTCTAATTTTCTTCTTCCATAAACCTGAAACATGACAATAAAGTTAAAAAAACATTTTTTTTCTATCAAAGAAAATTGAATTATTACTTCATTTTTCGATATTGGAAGGAACAAAATTTCTGAGTTCTTTTTATGAATAAATGAACGCATAATAATAAATCATTATTAAAATTATCAAGTCTAATCTTCTCTTGTATTTGAACATAACATGACCATAACTTTTTATGTTTAGTCAGAGTTTTTTTTTTTTTAATTTATCAATAAATTTTCTAACACCCCAACATTCCTTTGATCATTTCGACGGTATTTTAGCTAGAGTATCTACGAGTCTTAGTCTCGTTAAAACATGCAATTTAAAAGCTGAAATACTTTTTAAATGTGTGAGATACTTGAAGATTTAAAGATAACAGATTATAAAATCAAGAAACTGGATTTGCAAGAAAGTATTTGTGGGCACATTTTTGTAGATCAATTTGGTAGATGTTAACACACGATATAATTATTTATTTACTGTTAAAGTGTTAAAAAATTATATGACAAAATAGAAATTTTTTATTGCAAATAAATACAAATAAATTTATTTTTAAACACAAGTCAATCACTATTTAGCTTAAAAAGTTTCATCATTCAGCTGATGATCAATGAACTGAAGTAATTAATGTAGAATATTCGAGATCAGCATTGATTGCATGATAGAATTTCTCTGAAACCTTTTCAAGAGGAACAAATGGTAACATGCAATACATAAAAGTATTTGTCGTGGGAATGAAATGAAAATGACCTTGATGCAAAAATGAAAAAATATCATGGGACAGTTTGTGCAGCTTGAATATCTAAATTTTTTTTTGGCCAGGTAGATATTTAGATTTCGTATGCCATGTCCTTTTTCACGCATCCACGCCTTTGGACAAGAATAAGCCGCAACCCCGTCTCTTTTAATTCGCCCTCTCATGTCACAACTCTATCTTGTTACTTATCTCTCCAGAAGAGAGTTAAGTCTCGAATGGCCTGATGGAAACCACAATACGGCTCACGTTCCGACACAGATGACTCATATCAACGAGAAACGAAGGAGCAAAGCATCCCAGCAGTATCTTGCAGTGATACTTATAATATAAAGACTAAAAGAAGCCAAAGACAGTGGTAGCACTGTGTATAAGGTGGGAGATGATGACCCTCTCTTCGGCACAGGTCAGTCTCCAAGTGGGGACCAGAGGAAAGACGAGTCGACGAGACTCTAGTACCTCAGGAGAAGAGGTGGGACTCGAAGTCATGGACCACACACGGTGTTCCACGCGTCTCTGACTCGGTCACATTGCTTAATTGTAAACGCCACAGTGGCGCTCAAATCTCGGCGATAGGCTTAATCATCAACACAATTATCTTTCAAAGAAACGCTGCAATGATCGCGCAAAATTACTTCAAGGCTTCCGCTGATAATCTTAAGCAACTTTACTCACAATCTGTAATTCAAGTAGTCATTATCGGGAGAAAATTAAATGTTAATCTATAATGACTATTGAAAACCTGTAATGAGATAATTTTCTCCCCTTTTTTAAACGCAACTTATGTTGAGATAAAAAAAAGTGCCTTTAAGAGAAAATAGTTTTATTTTTAGACTTTAAAAACAACGTTGGAGAATTGATTAATTGATATTGCCCTTTTTTGGAGTATAATCAAAGCATTTTTCATCAAGTAAATATTCCAATAAACTTTTTCGACTTCTCTCGAGCTTTCTTCTCAGTTGAAAAATATTTGTAAGAAATAAAAAAAAATTTTCAAATCTTCTTATCCACTGCATAATTAATTAAGTCGATTGTCACGTACTCCAAATATAGAAGCAGCAATCCTTACTAATTAACCCTCAACTCGTAACTATTTAATCTCGTTTTTTTTTCTCTCATCATTTCCTTTATCTATTTCCAAGTAAATAAATATATCCATAACTATTTTTCATTCATATTTAATTTTAATGAATTAATACTTATTTTTATTTTAATATTAAAATTGTTATTAATCAACAATCAT